GCATAAAAATACACAGCAGCAAAACAAGAGACCATCGCGTTATGAAATAGGAGTTTTATCGATGATTTTACTCCTATTCGGTAGTACATGTCAAAACAACGCGTATGTAGATCTGTTAATCATGCATACAAACTAGTTCGAATTTTATGAAATGAAAAAGCACATGGATTGACATTACAATGTCTTCGACGATCTTGTTGTTTTACAATTACCCAGTCATTAAAAAATGTGGTAATCGGTTGTGGAAATTTTAGGAAACAAAAGTGGGTGGATTATAAAATGCATTTGAAATAGATTTTTTTTTTTTAAACAGAATACGAAATAAAATCGTTAGAAATGTATTTGTACCTACGATGGAAATAGGCAAAAAGGGAGAGACAAAATTATACAAATTTAAATACTATTTGTAAATATAAATATAATGAAATAAAACGGGGCCGCGTATGTGCGTGTGTGTGTTTGGGCCGGGGGTGGGGGGGGGGGGGGGTGGGGGCTTCCACGCTAATTTCAAAGCCGTATTATACTGTTGAAGGTAGAAGAAAAGACGGAAAATACACAAATGATAAAATCGCAAAGCACGTTATCCCACATCTTGTTTTTATAATCATACGCAAACATCAAAATTCAAACACGTTTCATTGGAGATTACTAGCGATAGCAATGCATGTAATGACAGTCGAGTTCCAGCATATATTTAACATAATAATTATGATAATCATTCCAAATTATAGTATGGGCAATTAGTTTTCATTAGAGAAACAATCAGCCGATCACACGTGCCTCATCTAGGCAAATTAGGGTTAATTTTCAGGGCATGCGCGATGCTATGATTTGTATCACCCAGTTTCAAATGCACACCTGCATTGAAAAAGCGACCGAATTATCTCGAAAGGTATCCATTTTTCTGAAGGTTCATAATTCCGAATGATCCTAATTCCGAAACACAAATTCCCCATAATTCCGGTGATGATAGAGGGTTTATAACTCCATACATTTGTTACTTTATTCCGAAGGTACGTTTATCAGAAGGTTCATTATTCCAAAGATTATATTTTCATAATTCTTTAAATGAAATAGGTTTGCTTATTCCAAAGGTTCGTACTTCCGAAAAGGAAAGAAAGAAGAGACAGAAGTAAATAAGAAGGAACAAAATGAAGGAGACTTAAAAAAAAAGACTAATCGTCTGAAACGGTCCCTTACAGAACTACGGATCAGTATCATAATAAAAACTTTTAAAAGATCATTTGATTTATCGCTTCATTTCTGTTCCCTCCTTAATCTGATCCGCTTAAGGCGAATAACCCCTCCAACGAGAAGAAATAAAGGAACGCAGATCTGTCTTACTGACAGACATGTTATAAATGTAGACCTCTTCTTGGAGTAAGTCAAATATAACAATTGGCAAAGCAAATATGGGCCAAAATGGAACATAACATCACGTATGCGATAAAGGAAAGATTAGAACATGAAGAATGTTTAGGGAGAGGTTGGGAGGAGAGGATTTGAGGAACATAAATCTTGTTTTATCACTCCAATTGTTTATCAGATCAAGCATTGAGGATGGACGGGCAGCGTCTTATTTTTTCGTACCACGGCGAGCCCGGATTCCTGTTTTATCATGAATATTCATTAGGCAGGGCCGGGGAAAGTCTCGATTCTCTTGAATATTCATGTATGATCGAGGCATGCGCAGCATCGAATATCGTGTGTAACAAGTACGTTGGATTAATGGCAGGCCTATAATATGACATAGAAAAGCAATGTCATGGTCATTTAGATAATACAGTCATAAATGCTGTGTTTAATTACTAGTAAATGCCAAAATGTCAGTACCGGTAGACAAGATATATAGCATATATTTCAAGTAAGAGTCTTGATAGGCAATTTGTGAGTAGCCTAGGCCTACTTTTCTGAGATTAATGGGAGTCTAGTTCTTTTCATGAATTGGTAAATAATCAGTTCTAGGTTTGCTTTTTAAATATTACAAGCAGAGGTTGCATTATGGTATTGAATATGTGATACAGTATTATAAACTGTATAAAATAGATAACAAGAATAGGCCTACATACAGACATTTATCAAGAATAAAATACTTGTGTATTGCACTTAAATTATTTCTATGATCTATGCTCACTTAACTGCATAAGGAAGAAAAGGAAGAAAGAAAAATGGGATTAGAAAGAAGAATAACAAAGTTAAAAAGTAAAATATATATAAATAATAAATGAATGGAAGAAATAAAGAATACGGAATAGATACCAAGGAAGAAAGAAATAAATTGCAAGAAAATTGAAATGAAAAGAAGACAAAAGAAAAAGGGAAAGGAGCAAGATAATATTGATACCATATCTTCAATCTTGTTTTCTTTTATCTTGCCTCTTGTTTTTGTTTAGGCCTAGCTACCATTTTTTCCTTTCCTTTCTCTTTTTCTCTTAAAAGATCTCTTTGGTTTCTTTCTAAAATAATGAGGGAAGGGGGGTGGGGGACTCGATGATAATTCATCATTTGAAGGTTTACAATGTGAAGTCCACGAGTAATATGCACCCACTGAAGAAAATCCATGTACAGGGTTGCTGCAGGAACCCCAGCACCCACAGATCCCACGCATGATGAGACAAACTCGAGAGAAAACTACACATTCTTTCACATACATTGAAGAAAAAAAAAAAGAAAAAAAAATCCAAGATCGGTTGAACTCTTTTTGACCCCTCCCCAGGACGTCGATCAATTACATGTATGTGCCCCCCCCCCCCCAAACTCTGACTACGGCCCTGGCGATAATTACCCACTATTCAAATCTGACAGGTGCCCCTTTTTCTTCAACAAATGCCCCTTTAACTTCATAATAAGTGCCACTGTTCCATTTTCATAAGTGCCCCTTGTGATATCTGATAAAAGCCCTTTCATTTTTTTTACTTTGACACGCGTCCCCTTAAACTTTCTAACAAGTGCCCTTTTACCTTTTGATATGTGCCCCTTTCCCTGTTTAATAGGAGCCCCAACCCCAACCCTTTCTCATAAATGCCCCTTTGACACATGCCCCCTTTTCCTTTTTTTTTTTATAATTCCCCTTTTCTCTCTTTCTCTGTCTTTCGAAAACTATCTTCTGCAAGGTTTGTTCTCTTGACTGAGCAACCTGTTGCAATTCCTTTCTGTCTCACTTTCAGTCGTACTTGTTGCCACTCATTTGCATTCACTCGTTATCAACTACCATCAACCATTCCATATTCACTCCATTACTGTCCACATTTCAATGTCATTCTCTTCACTCTCCCTTTTTGCAGCCTTTCCAGGAGCTTTGCTAGAAGTAGAACATTTTTAATGTAGAGGCCAGAGAAACCGGAAAGTATGTTAATCATTTTATTCAAATATCTAACTTGAAAAAAAGGAAAGTGAAACATTGTTTAATTACAATATATTGACATAATTTTGTTAAAGAAAAAATTTGAATTTAACACTGGAAATTTGTAATTGGTTTGCCAGCCCCCCCCCCCCCCAAAAAAAAAAAACACACTCAAAACACAACAGTGGTACCAGGGTTTTTGTTAGGAGGCCCATGTACTGTATAATTTTTATCATTAAGAATAGTTTTCTCTTTTTTATTAATTTGACATTGGCATACCGTAAATTTCACCAGGAACCCCCCCCCCCCCCCTCCCGACACTGCCATTACTTCTACCAACAGTAATGCTATAATTCAAAATTTCACTTTCTAAATCCTTCTAATATAAACATATAATCATATTTGTACAGAGGATAAGATAAGAGGATAGCAAGCCCCCCCCCCCCCCCCACTCCCTGTTTTCTTTAGTTGGGAAGCATCAAAACATGATTCTATGAAAGCTACCAGTTTGGATACGAAAGGCAATGAGGATTAGCAGTTTCCATATTTAATGCATTTAGAGTGTTGTCTTTCAAACCTTCTTACATACAATACTTGAAGTAGCAATAATTTCATAATCTACAAAACTTCCCATACAGAAGTCCATAGAGGTAAATGAATTTTAACATGTATAATTATAATCAAAATATCATTGATTAATTCAATCTTTGATATAGACTGATAGACCTTTATCAATCAAATTTGAAGGAGAATCTTTCTGCCCAGTCCTCAGTTTCATCCTATAAGATGGTAGTTGACATTGTTAGAATTTTAATGTTTATTCGTTGAGGATTAGTTATCTTTAATTATTTGAAAGTCGACAAGATGATAAACTTCATTAGCTTTATTGAATGTAGTATTCTACAAACATATAATACAAATAACAAATAAATATCATGTAAATATTCCAGTTTAAACCCATCTCTATTGTCCTCTTTCATTATATGAGGGTGGCATCTTTAAGACGTAGTCTCGTGTAGATATCTTCTGCATCCATCACTAAAGTTGTAGCCTAGTTTTCAGAAAAAAATATAACCCAAGTCTGTTGAATGGAAAAATGAAATAAGATATAAAAAAATCAACAATGACTAATAACATACATCCTGATACCTGCTCAGAAAAAGGAAGGACTGAAATTCACTTGGGGTTCTAGTGGGCAAACCTAAACTATTTTTTGTACAAGACTAGTTTAAATACTGACCGCATCTTAAATTATTACTGATGATCCCATTAAGACGATAGGCCTGCTGGAGCTCGGATCAGACAAGGTATGAAATAAGTAATACAATGTAATACAACTCGTGCTCATACCGGTAATTGAATAATACTCGGTTAAGTATGGGACATAAAATGACCAAACAACTTTGACCAGAGAATGTACTGGAAATAATGCTACTGAAACATACGTAATGTAGACTTATATTTCATCTATATTGACATTTAATTTTTAATCTAAATTACAATTGTGATATTAAGTCAATTATTCTTTTACAAGTCAACTGACAATGAAAAATATCTGTTTCAGATCTATAATTTTCTCCATGACATTTGTTCCACAAAAATTTATTGGGGGTACCTTCATGTATATTAGCACACTTACTTGTATGAAGTGTAGTAGGCCCGTATCTCTAGATATGATCCCGTCAACATCTGTTCTTTGTTTCTCTCCTGAGTTTGCAAACCAGAATGCCTTCATCATCCACTGTAGAGAGGCATCATCCTACATGAGAGAAAACAAAGTAGGTACATGTACTTCAATTAAAAACTGATACTGATGGATACATATCAACCATAATACATCCTATAAACAGACTTTTATCAATCTTATTTTGTGTTCTTCTTCATCTTCATTGCTCAAGAAGTGAAAGTACCCCTTACAAAAAAAAAATGAGGGGTCCTGTGTATACCCTACATGTAGTGCTTACAATGTGCATTTGATATGGCTCTTCTAAACACAGGACCTCCTGTAAATAAGGACAAATTTTCCTTTGTAAACATAAAAAGAAAAGACATCAATATTTGTATACTAGGTGCAGAACTAGAATAAAATATACCCTCCACTATATATGCTTGCAATGTCAACTTAGTTCCATTTCCTTTTGAGTGAATTAATAGGTGGTCGTTTAATATGTGTGTGCTAAATAACCTGATAACTGTACCTGCATGGGACTTTCTGCTTCATCTTGCAAATATAAGAGATGTTGTAATGTCCTCCTTCCAGCTCTTCAGTTTCAATCTTTTGGAACAAAAAGAAGAAAATCAATACGACAATCAAGGCATCCCTTTCTCCTTAACAAAATAAAATAGATCTAGCATAATTCAAATTAATAGATATTTTTATGTCATGGTTGGCCTTAATTTTAATATGGTGTGGAAATCAACATTCCTATTTAATGAACCACAGTACAAAGTAAAACTAAATGGAAGATTTAACTTGTGCATCAAACAGTGGTTTCTATGGCCTATGAACACGAAGCAGTACTAAGTAGAATTAGTTTATTATAACAAGAAGAGGTGGACTACATACCATATAAGCAGAGGCGGCGCTCCGAGAGGGGGGGGGGGGGGGGGCAGAGTGCCCTCCCATTTGGTCAAGTACCCTAAAAGTGCCCCTGTTTGCATAGGAAAAGTGCCCTTTTTTACATAGGAAAGTGCCCCTTTTACTCTGACAAGTGCCCCTATTAAGTTTTTAAAGTGCCCCTTCCCCTTTTAATAACTACCCCTTTTAACTTGGATAAGCGCACCTTATATCTTCACATGTGCTCCCTTTCATTTTTAATAAGTGCCCCTTTTTCTTATAAGTGCCCCCGTTTAAAAATAGGCCCTTTCCCTTCTCATAAATGCCCCTTTTCATCTATGAAAATAGTTCCTTTTCATTCTCTTAAGTGCCCCTTTTCATCTCTTGTAAATGACCCTATTCACTTCTGATACTTGTTTTAATTTGACAAGCACCCCTTCCCCTCCTAGTCAGTACTCTTTTCATCTCTTATAAATGCCCCTTTTATTTTGACACATCCTCCTTTTCCTTCCTATATAATGCCTTTCTTCCTTATAAGCACCCTTACCCCTTATCATAATTACCGGTACCACTTTTCGTCTTTGATAAGTGCCCCGTTTATTTAAACATGTGCCACTTTTTCTTTTTAATAAGAGCCACTTCCCCTTCTCATTACCCTTTTAACAATGATATGTACCCTATTTCCTTTCTTGTAAAGAACCTATCCCTTTTTCATAAATGCCCCTTTTCACTGCTTATAAATGCCCCCTATCAAAATCTGATGGGTGCCTCTTTTCCGTCGACAAATGCCCATGTTCTTATCATCCCTGGTGCATGCCTCTTTGTTTAGGTGTAAGAAGTGCCCCATTTTCACCTCTGATAATTAGCCTTTGTACTTTGACACATGCTTCTTTTCTTTTCTGATAAGTGTCTTAACCCTTTCGATAAGTGTCCCCTTTTCCTCTCATCATTAAACGTGTCCCTAATTTCAAGCGACTAAAAGCAATTTCCCACAAAGCTCGCTCGCTACGCTTGCCCATCGTTACAGATGTTATAATTATGTAACTTATCACAGATCTATTCAGTCTTCCGTTATGAGATTGTGCTTATATAACCCCATCAGGATTGGGTTTTCCTCTTTATAAGATGTAATTTTTCGCACTGCAAGCCAAAAACTGCAAAGTATGATACTTAAGCAATATCTTAAATGCTGTATTAAGAGAAACAAATATTGAAATCATCCCTGATAATGTAATCACAAAATAGGGGTATATACCAATGTCAAAAAAATGGTATATTTTCCCTCTGAAGGTGCCCTTTTTTCAAGAAAGTGCCCTTTTTGTTGGTGCCCCCCCCCCCCACTTTGGAAGTTGCTCCGCCCAAAGGCTCCGCCGCCTCTGCGTATAAGTAAACATAATTGTCGACTACCCTAGGGTTCTTCTCTTATACAACGTCCAACAAAAAATAGATTTATCAAATGAACTGCACACTTTGGAGAAGAAAAAATCTTTAATATAGGTCTATAGATCTAGAAAAGTTATGACAACTTGACAAGCACACTGGACACACACAACATCTGAACATTAAATAAATGAATCCTAGGTCTAGTTTGTTTGTTTTTGAATATTTTTATTAATAAGTTCCAGGTTTACGTCTAAATGAAATATGGTTTGGAGCCGTTTGATTATCCATGGTCACAAACAATTTTGGTCTAAAAGTTGACACGCACCAATGATGCAACTGAGCGAACGGATAGCACTTAGTCTTAGTAATACTAGTATAGCCAACAGAGTCGACATCTACTAAAGATATAAACAAGAATTAACCCTCTTGGATTATTAAAGAAATCATACTTCATAGATTATTTTAAGGTGTAACGTTAAATCTAGATTTAAATTCAATGGATGATTGGTGAATTAGATTCACGATGACGATCAAATTTGGAATAAAACCTGATCAGAAAGTTTTATCTTGATGCAGATGAGCACCGAAATTCCCCAACGTGGGCCTGCCGGAACCCCGGGGCTCTAAAGGGTGACATGAAGGCAAACCGCAGTCAAACTACTTCACGACGATGAAAATCAAAGTGCAATTTCAAGAGAAATATTTTCCTAGCCTTTTCCTCACAAATCTGTTGAGAACAGTCTCAAAATGTAAAGAAATTACAGTAGATCACGAATTACAGCTTTTTCAAATTAATGACTAAATTATCTTAATCTACTGATATTTCAATCAATTACTCACCCATATGCATTCTCCGTGAACTAAATCTTCTCACTTTGTGCGAGTATAGCGCGCGTCGTGCATTCCCACCTCGATATGAATATTTAAGAGAATCGAGACTTTCCCCGACCCTGCCTAATGAATATTCATGATAAAACAGGAATCCGGCCTCGCCGTGGTACGAAAAAATAAGACGCGGACGGGCAGTCAGTATATAGGGTGCGTCATAAAAATGAGATTACGTCTGAACGTGTTGCAACTTTTTTCCAAGAAAATAGACATAATTACATGTATATGGTACTCAATATTTCATGATCACAGCCCGTCGTGGATATTTGTCCTTTGTATTGTGCTGTATCTATAGGCTTAATGATCTGTAAACAGTGACCATAAAGACATTCCGTGGAAGTTTAAATATAAACAGTTGTGTCTGGTGATGAACAGCGCCCCCTGTGGTCATGTGGTAACCATGGTTTTCGGCCATATGCAATTCTCTCTTACTTTCTCTCCACATCTCTCTCTCTCTCTCTCTCTCTCTCTCTCTCTTTCTCTCTCCTTTCGGTATGATACTAGTGCTCGGTTATCTCTTCCTTCATTCCCATATCTCCCATTTTGCAGTTCTCACAATAGCCAATTCTTTATTCCATAATAAATTACTGATATAAAACTGATAATTCACACGTAATTTAGTCAACTTGGATATTGGCTCGTATTTTCTACGTTGCTTATCTCAACACCATCCTCATTATGATAATTTATTGGGTTCAGTACATAGTTGTATCACGATTATCAAGGTTTCCTCTTACAAGTTACATTTTCTTTATAAAAATGCTCTGTCTGTCAACCGCCAGCGAATCTGTTTGTTCATTTTCCTGGATCACTTTCCGTTATGTCATTCTCCCGTTTTCTGTATTCTTATCACAGTCAAATCATTCGCTTTTCCATCTTGCCATTTTTTTGCTACGTATCATAACATTTTACATTCTATGCTTCATCTCTTCTTCCATAAGACCACGCGCTCATCTCTTTTTATGACACACCCTATATCACTGCAACCCAACGGCAACAGTAACCGACTTGTAATTGTAGAAATTTGTTGACAATTCAAACATTCTGATTCAATTTTGTATAGGTTTTGAAAAGCAGAAGTTCATGATCCCCGAGCCGTAAGACAATACTCTACGTGTGGACAAGGTTCGCCGAGTCAAGTCACGATGACGTTCGGATAAGACCGCGGTCACACCTTCCCTAAGTACAGCGACTCGTCTGAACCGAAACCGGTGTTTCAATATTTGCTACTACGACAAATGCCCCAGGCTTGTAGTCAAAGATATATCAGGGTTATGGTTGTAATTTTATTTTTGTTCCTCCTGTTTCTTGTTAAAGCTTATGTTTAGGGTTAGGGTTGGGGTCAGGTATTGTGTTTAGTCTAGGGTTGAACATTTTTACAGATAGATTTGTCCATGAGTCCATGGTCCATTGCTTGATAGAGCATCCTATAAGATTACCGATTTCGTTATTGGTTGGGTGGGACCGGGCCGGTTTAATACTGCTGGGAGAGGGTGTCAATCAACAAAAAATGATTGACGTTCCATTTTTACTTCTCATTTCTCTCCGCTCACTTTCGTCTATTTGTTTTTCTTCTCATGTTTTTTGGTGGTGGATTTCGGTTTTATGCAAGCTCTCCAGACAAACTGTATCCTTGCCGACTTGGTAGCTTGTCAGTGGTTACCTGACCTAGCAACACCAATGCATGTAATCTACATGTCGGGCAGTGTAGTACCATTTTTTTTTTATCACATTGGAATATTTTGTTTGTCTCGAAAGGCACTATGAATTATTGCATGTTTGCAAATCATAGATTTCTCATTTTTCTCGTCAACATTATATGCTCTTTCGAAAAGACTACTATATAAATAAGTTTTGAGTTCTCTCTTCATTTTGTTTGAACCTCAACCGTACGATTACCTGTCCCAATATCTTGCTTTGATTTTCTTTTTGTCTCCCCGTCTCTTAATTTAAAAAAAAAACTTAGTTCACTCTTGATTTTAGGTTGTTTGTTTTCGAAGTACTTTGTCAAGTGCGTCTCTCTTACCACAACTTAGTTACCTCAAAGTTTATAATTCTCTGATTTCTATTTTACCCTCTTCAAAGTTCAAACCATATTATTTCTCCTTCAGTCCTCTCCAGATCATACCTCCCGTCTCATTGATGTCTTCCTCTCTACATTTTCATTTCAAATCTCTTCGCATTATGTCTTCAAACCACCGAGATTTATCACAAAGGCCGACTTTGTGTCACCTCATAAAACCCGAGCTTCGTTGATATTTATTCAACCTTTCGGTGTTTTGCTATAAATCACAAATTTCAATAAGGTTACTCGCAAAATGACAGATTGTCCAATTTCCACGATCAGTCAGACTCGGTGATGATTGATAGCAGCTTATGAAAATCGTTCTCACGTGCTGTATGTTGAGAAGGGATTAGACAAAACATAAGTCAGTCAGTCTGTGTGTAATTAACCTTTAAAAGACCCTCTCGTTCATGTTAACAACACTAAACACTTCTTGGGGTGGCGTCCATACCAAGTTTTAATTTGATTAATATTGATTTAAATTTCTTAATAGCCATATGGATAGCAAGATGATATTTCAAATCACCACCGATTCATATCATAAGCAGAAAAGTGATAATATATAAATGAGGGAGTATAAGGGAGCTACAAACTACCTGACTGGCGAGCGACCCGTGAGACCGACATCACACTGGACCAATAATTTCGGTCTCGTTGACCGTCTGAAAGGCTCACTAGATCGACAGCCTTCTAGCTCGTTCGTCAGCCCACTTAACCGACAGCCTACGAGTTCAACAGCCCACGAGATCGACAATCTCGGTCTCGTGGGCTTTCTAGCAACCGCTCCGACTCTGATGAAATACGACCAACGGTCTATGGGACTGGCATTCTTTTCCCCTTTGTTGTTTTGTAGCTATCAGTCGCATCGACCTGTTAGAGCATTCGGTCTCTTAAAGATAAACTTGAGTTCTGGTAAAAAAAGAAAATGAATTCTCACAGAATCTAACGAAACTTACACTGAATGTTCAAGATTACCAATAAATGTCAAGTGCCAAACAATTTTGGAAGAAAATGTATACTGGCTGAGTAATGAGCATAGAAAGATAAGGAAATCAGGGTAGTACTAGCCCCGACACCATGTGTGTTGTCCCATATACATCTTTCTGTGTAAGTGATTGTTACTTTACCAAGACTCTGCCAAATTTATGATGATTTTGATGACTCCAGAACCTTGCATTACACACCATTACTTACATGATATATGATCAACTTTTCTGATCCATTCCACACCTTTTCTTTCACAATGCAATCGCATTACCAGAACTCAAGTTTATCTCTAACTTGGGTTATTGGCCGAGAGATGTCCCAGGGGTAAGCGCCGATTGCGATATATTTCATATTGGTGCATACTTTGGGTGCAATTTTATGATGACAAAGATTAATTTCATCAAGTTTAATACCCGATCAAGATGAATCGAACAAATATTGCACCTAATACATAATAATATTCTAAAGAGCGCTCATTAATAACCGTGAATTTCAATGGATAATGACATTTATTATGCCGACCTGTCGCAATTTGTCTTGCCAAACAATAATCAAAGCGCGCCGCTTTCTTCTAACAATTAATCACCAGTCGTCATCCCATCCGATTTATGAGATAATATTATGTTAATTCTACATTATCTCTCCTTAGGCATTTGTTCATTTGATAATGATAGATCCTGTAGATGCCCAGATTCCGTTTTATCTAAGAATTTTACAGAGAATTATATTTACTTTGGGCCTCTTCTTTCTATACTTCTCTTTCTCCATACTTTTGTGTTTAAACTTGGTGTTCTAAACGTATACTTCATGACTTTTGTGTCTCTTTGAAACTCTCTATGAAATCGTTTTCAATTACTCAGTAGGACTACCTATCTAAATGAAATTACCTCTCTCTCTCTCTCTCTCTCTCTCTCTCCCTCTCCCTCTCTCTCTCTCTCTCTCTCTCTCTCTCTCTCTCTCTCTCTCTCTCTCTCTCTCTCTCCTGACTCGTATAGCTCGTTATATATACATGTACAATATATTTGTTCCTCATTAGTCTCTATATACATGATTTATATTATATCTCTGTTATTCCAGCTGCTCCCTCTCTGTCTCTGCCTGCCTGTCTCTCTCTTCCTCCCTCTCTCTCTCTCTCTCTCTCTCTCATCATTTTTTTCTTCTTTTAAAATGCCAATATCTACCTCATTGTACCGAAGTAAAAATAGCATGATGAAACGCCCCCACCAAACCAAATACGCTTAAACGATGAGAATAAAAGAACCGAAAATAATTATCTACTTTTCTATGAGGTTTTCACCATCAATTATTTACATTGTTTACTTAAACTTTTGATGAACATGCATTAGGATTTACCGTGCCTTTTTTGTCAGATTAATTCCGTCTGAGTAAGCTTTGCTGTCAGTTGCCTCGAAATCTCTGTTATTAATGGCAACACAAGCGTGTCAAAAATAACGAGAAATTGCTGGGCAGCTTAGCAAAAGTACACTAACTCGAACAAAATGATGAATTAACTTTTTACTCCTCGCAGTAGGGGCGCATAGGGATACAGATAATGGTAATAATACATGACCAAGACAATATTTTCGTTGATCACCTTTTTAAAGAACTCTGCGGGGTGGAGGTTAATTGCCATAATTGCTTCATTGTGTTCTAAATTCTAAATATACGTCGGTTTTCTAATCGAAGTGAGAGTTCATTTTGGGGCGAATCTGAAGCGATGAACGAATTTTAGTGGTGAGTTATGAGAAGGGGAGGGGTTGGAATAATTGCTTGATAAGAACATTGGAATACGGGATAGAAGGAGAAGAAAGGAAGGGGAAATAGAAAAGAGAAAAAGAAAAAGGAGAAACTATAATTATTAATAATGTTAATCAGAACAACAACAGTAATGCTACTACTACTACTACTACTACTACTACTACTACTACTACTACTACCATACCACTAGTATGGGGCGAATTATCATGAGAAATAAGGAACACCTATAACAAGATCCAATCTATAAACAAAAATGGAAGAAAACGGAGGTGTGGACCTGCGACAGAAATCCGAGATTGCCTGAATAA